ACAACAACAACGGAGTTGAGATCGGAAAGAGACAACGAGTTACAGAATAACAGAAGAACCCTCCGAGTTGCAACTATTGTGCTGCTACAATAGTTGCAAGGCCGTTGCGAGCAACGGTGAAGGGTGAAGGACAGCCTTCCGGATCAAGAGAGAAATCAGGATTAGTGAGCTTGATCCAGCGGATTCATCAATCCGGAAGGGTAAAGGGACTGAAACTTTTATCCTGTTGCATAAACTTTTAGCTTCCTGTCATGTCCTGACTTGAATTTAATTAATATCTAGATTCATTTTGATAAGGATGAGAAGCTAGGAGTTGGGGGAAAGGGTTGATCCATCTTCGATGGAGATGATGATTTTATCTACTGAACAAAAACAATAGTAATATGATAAATAGTAACAGCCCTGTTTTTAGGAGTGACCTCGTGATCTGGGGATACTGAGACCCAGCCATGAGCTCAACTAATTCTGCATGTAATCTAGTTAATTTGAGTGTTTGACCGAAGCCGAAAGCAGTAGCCGTTTTTGTCGACCCGATGTTAGCAAAGACCACCGAAAAGTACTGGCTTGGTAGAGACGGTGAAAAGCATGCAAAGCTCTGTTTAGACGTTAGCCAGTCGTCTTAAGACTTAGTTTTGTTTTCCGTCGATATGTATCTTCCGGGCGAATGTTACAGAAGTTTCACTTCCTTTAGTTTTTGCCACGTATGGAGCTGTAGGTGAAGAATGCGGCATTTTTATCTCTAACTTAGCTGCAAAAATTGCTCATAAGCGCCAAGAGAAGTATTCAGTACGTTAAATGCTGGTTGAGAACAAAGTTGTCAGTGATGCTTGTGAAATCTGTTTTCATGTGTGTAAGCGGGTCGAGAACTCCGTGGCAACCGAAGGAAACAGAAGAAGTGTAAGACATTGCTTTAGAATCCATGAATTCGCAAATAATCAGAAAAATTGATAGCGTTCCACTTCTACTTTTTATATTATCGCGTCAGTATCCAACGGTGCTACTTTTTCTTTTGAGAGTTTCTGTAAATTTTGATACTTTACAGTTTTAACTCCCATGGATCTTTGAATTTACGTATTTCTCGCTTTAAAAATATAACCAAGAAAAGTTGTTTCACTTACACTTGCTTAAGATTATTAATTATCATTTTGAAATTAAAGTGCTCATGTTTTAAGATTTACTCAAGAAACTTCAACGCAATTTTCAAACTCTAAAACAGGTAGTCCTCTCTTCACAGCGCATTATGTTGACAATTTCCTGTCATTTGGATGATGGGCACTCGGTTTCATTCGTTTTTCAATTTTCTGTAGCAGGTGCGCAGCAATAAACCCAACCTCACCCTGCTTGTGGTAATGGTATTAATAATATGTCGTTTATTTAAATTTTTCTATGCTAGATAGAGGCCGGTTATTTGTAGTCAAGCTCGTGCGAAGCCCGGGTGTACTTTTGAAGATCTTTATTATAGATAAAATGTCCAGTGAATCAGGTGGCGTTAAAGAAAACCGGAATCTACTCACACTTACTTCGTGGCGTCCTTTTGAGTCTTCTCTAATTTCCCGTAAAAGCAACAAAGTTTCTGCGGAGATTTTGCGTGATAATGAGCACCCATATTCGAAGAGTCTGAATTCTGTTACATTCAACTTGTACTCGAATGTGTCATCAAATGTCCATAACATCGAAGCACAAAATGCAACATGTGATCAAAACGAACCGGAATTTACTGAGCTGAGTATTTGCAACGAAGAAAACGTAATAGAATCCTGGCCGACAGCAGGTTTTGACGAATCTCAAATTAGAGAGATTCTTCAAAGTCTTGACAGTCAGCTTGCTCCATTTATAAACGATGAGGAGTTCTCAATAAATGTTTCTACTGTAGAAGAAAAAAGTAAGGATAAACAAGGACTTAAATCGAAATTATCACATAAAGCTAATCATTCCACAGGTGCTGAATTTGAGTCCGAGAATTCTGTTGAATCTTACAATTCATTTGAACCTTTACCTTATCCATGCTCTTTTTGTGGAGTGAAGCTCAAAAGTTTTGTCGAGTATTTCAAACATAGGAAGAACCATGTGAAAGAGAAGCCATTTAAATGTGGTCAAGGGAATTGCAAAGAGTCATTCAACTCTGAGGAAAACTTAGAGTTGCATGTTGCGGCTATACATCAGCTGGGAGAAAAATGTAATCAGGCAGGAGCTAAAGAAAGAAATGTCCCAAATTCGAACCAGGTAAGTACTATTATAGGCTTGAGAATTAAAAGTATTTATTTGAGTTGTAGCTAAAATGTAGACGCAACATATTCTGAAGATCTTTTGTAGGTGCTCAACTGTCCGAAGTGCGAGAAAAGTTTCAATCGTGTATCGAAGTTGAGATCACATATGGTAATTCACGCGAAGGAAGAAGACTTCAAATGTGACATATGCGACCTCAATTTTGAGTTCCTCGCCGAGTATGAGCAACACGAATACGATCATCTTCATGGGCAGAAGTTAGTGATTAACATTCATGAACTTTGTGAATGCTCTTATATAGGCCGAGATATATTTTTTTCAGGAAAAATCCAAAACTTGTTCAGGCTCAGCTCAAATTTGATTTTTTTGCGGTTTGAATTCTCATTTCTTTTATTTAAAGTTCACTTTCTTTTCTGTGTTGACAGGAAGGCAAACTCCAATATCGAACAGCCTAAGTGTAATTGTCACGAAAACGTGATAGGCTTTTTGTTTCCAAAATGGAGTTTAATTTTCAGATTTTGCAGCGGAATAAAACTTTTACCTTTCGTGTTAAATTGGTTTAATTTTATCAAAAAAATCTCAACCATAAATTGTACAAATTGTTTCAAAGAGCTTTAATGTCATCTATTTTCTTTGAAATTTGAACTTTTTCCAAAATGCAATCAGTTGCAATCTGTTTTATTTTGGGTTTTTTTTAATATTTTGCAATTGTCTGTTAGCTTTATTGATACTTTACGCAGCTATAAGAAAGAAAAGTAGCCGGTTTCTGCGCGATTTTCCCAAATTGCTTCGAATCTTTTAATAATTGCAAAAAGAAAAATGAATGCAAGAAAACTCGATTCTTTATCAGAATTTGTAAACCCTTCATTGAAATGAAGAAGAGAGGTAAGTGTAACTTAGACTACAAATAATTGTAATTGAAGTTCTAATATCTCCAAAACCTTTGTAAAAAGAAATTGGCAGTTCGTAATCTAATAGGCTCAATATGTTCGATCAGTTTTATTTGTCACAACCAACGCTTTGTTCCGACTTTCGAAGTATTTGCGCCGAGGTGAAGTTTTGTTCTCCAGACAACTTTTGACTTTTCAACTATAAATTTTGGACTGAAATTTTCATACAGTATACAAGATATTGATTGATACCCAGGGCTGAAAAGATCTTTGGCCTATGAGCGTTTTTAACTAGATTATGGTGGCTTTGTTTTCGGTCGTTTTGTACAGCCAATGCTAAGGACATTAGCACAAACTATTATATTACAAATAGCACTTTAGCTTCAATGTATCATGGATCTGTAGCGTAGAGGTAGGGAAGGAGACCCGTAACTAAATTAGAGGGTTCGAACCTGGGCAGGGTCGGATGTTTTTACAGAACTTTTTCGTATACTAGTTAAAATGCGTCAGCTCTATAAATTGACTCTTGTTAGTTGGTGAAATTCTTTTTTTCAAATTGACTGGTACTGCTAATGCATGATAATTAGCTTGCGTCACTAACAGTTATGTAGACTCATAATTGGCGTGCTTAACACTTGAGAAATTTTGTAGATTCAAAGTCTTACTCATTCAGTTTTTGCCAGTAGCGTTATCGGTCATATTTTTGCTTGTGTACACGTAGTGCAACTTCACCTCTGTGTTACCCTTGCGACAAGGAAAGGTTTTGGTTCCGGGTACCATACATCTTATTTAAAAAAATTTATACTTGAAAATGTATTTTTTCTTTCCCTTTTTTTACAAAAATCTATCTAATTCATTACATAGCAGGGTATATGTCGTTTATGTTTTTGGTTTTGTATTCATTAAATCTATCAGTTACTGAAGAAAAACGGAAGTACTAGTGTTTTTTCGGTCTCGTGACTTCGGCAGATTTTTTGTCTTTGTTTCGAATTAGTTTCGAATTTTTTTTCATCCTAATTCAAAATTGGTTTTGCACGTTTGACTTGATTTTTTGTCTACGAAGTTATTTGTCAAGTCTTGCACGAAATTCAAGAGTGCTTGATTCTGGCTGAATCTATTTGAAAACTTGAATTTTTGTGCTTTTTTTTTCTGTTTCGTTAATTGGTGTCTTTTTATTGTAAATATTTTTTGTTAATGTGAGTCAGATCTTTTATCAGTTTTTTCTAACTTCTGATTTTATTAATATTTTGCATTTCTATAATTTTGAAGAACTTACTGTAGTTCTTCTGAAAGGTAATTTTTGTGGCAATTGTTTGAAACCTTTGCATCCAAGCTTTTTGACATTTTATTTTTCAATTTTGTTCTTTTGTTTTGATTTTAGTTTAGCAGGAGTTGCCTGGTGCCTTTGGTTTTTCATCTGTTCCTCAAGGTCATTTAGTTTGTTTGATTGCAAGAATTGTGTTAATCTTTTCTAAGATTTCGAGATTTCTCTTATCGTTTCTATCTAGTAGTTAGGAGAGAGAGCTTGTGTGGCCCTTGTTCCTGTCAAGTTTCGGAATTTGATTGCTTACACATTTGAAAATAAAACAATTTTTCGGTTTTTTTTTTGCCTACGATTCCCTTAACAGAACGTAGTGTATTATTTTGAAGAATTTTTATTTTTCTAACCTAACTCGAAAATGGAAGAGCTCATTTGGTGGCATTTTTGGTATATTTCAATTTAATCTTATTTTTAGCTGATTTAAACATGAATAGTATAATGGCATATGTTGCTGCTTCATTTTTGTCTAGCGTTAGATTTTGTTTTGAAAAAAAGATGTATTATGAAAGTGTATAGGATTTGCTGTTTTTTGTTCTTTTTTGCGACGCTTTGGAACATTTTTGCAGAAATTTCAATTTTTTCTCGAAAACTACTACTGATTTTCAAAAAAAAAATGATAACAATAGAAAAACTGGCTGCTCTTTTATCTGCCTGCTTAGTTTGCTAGTCTCTTTTCATCGTTCTACGGTCTTCGAAAGTTTCTGTAGGGGGATTTTTACCTATTTGTTTTGAATTTTTTCAATTTGTCAAAAGTTAAATGCTCAAATCTGAGATAAAGGTTTCAGTCAAAATAAAAATTTACGGGGATTTCCCCTTCTCAAGCTTTTGTTCCCTTAATTTGGTAGAAGAAAGTTTTTGCCTCAAAAAAGCCCATTTTTCGACATTTTGGTTAATTTTTAAAGTTTTTTGAAAACTTTTTTTTCGAAAACTACTCTGCCAAATCTGAGATAAGGACTTCAAGTGCAAGAAAGACTAGTGACTTTATTTTTTAAATCAGCGGTTTATCCCCTATATAAGCAGAGAAACATTGGGGTTTAGCTTAAGTTAATTTTTTTGTAATTTTGAAAACTGCGAATTCCGTGTCAGTACAATATAATTAAAAATATTACATCAGGTAGATCCAGCGTTTACTTCAAAACGACCGTGGCGCAGATGTGAGTACATGAGACTCCTTACCAAGAGGTCGGATATTCAAATCCCGAATATTTTAATAGTTTTATTTTTTGGTCGAATTTTCGCTGCATAACATGGGCAATGTGATAAATGTAGCTGCTTTTTGGTGGCGAGTGTTAGTAAAATTACAAGTGGATGAAGAGCAGATGTAAGAACGTGGCACTCCTAGTCTCAATAAAAAAATTTTGAAGGTGTATTTTTAATCTTTTCCTGATTCCATTTTATTTGCCTGCTTGGCGTCTTTTTTGCATTTTCCTCGCATGTGTTTTCGAAACGCAGCTTCGCCTCTGTGTTAAATTTTGTGTCACAACTTTCATCAACAATTCCAAAGGGCAGTTGGATCTGTCAGTTCTTCTCCCTGATACGAGCAGTCTTCTCTATATTTTCGAATAAAAAAAGTTTTATTTCGAATCCACAATTTTGACGATTTTTAGCCGCATAACGCAATGAACGTAGCTTTATGACCTGTGCTTATGATTTTATCTAATTAAAATTTATTTTTTTTTGCTTTTTATTTGAAGATTCTTTCGTTCAGGTATGAATTAGTCAAATGAATTTTTTAATAAAAAAACAGTATGTGCAAGCCGATGGACCGTGGTTACTCGTGAAAAAGATTTTTGTGCTCCTAATGATAGACGGAGTTTTTTATCTAGCTAATAAATCCGTTTTTAGACCAGCGAGAGATCTATTTCATTAGGTTGGATTGCTTTTTCTGGCATGTTACTGCCTTAACTGCCTGTATTTCTTTGAACATACAAGCTGATATGCTCATTTTCTTGACAACTCGACTAAAACGACCTTTAAGATCATTGTAGGTAGGACTTTTTTTTCAAATTTATTTATTGAAGTTACTGTAAAAATATTGATTTTTCGGATATCGAATTTTCGTCTTAATTACTGTCGGCTGATTTTCCGTTTTTTTTTTCAATGCAATTTAATTTATGTGGTTCATTTTTCCAGCTGTTGCTTTCCAGTGCTTGTTTTTTTTGCTTCGCCTCTGAATGGTGCAGGTAATATTTATGTCATTTTTCAGAGAAAAAAACTTTTTAAAATGCTTTCAGTTTAACGAATTTTCGGTTTGTCTGCAAGTATTGATAGTTATTCAGTTTTGTATCCCCTAAGGTGTTTTATATCCCAAGGTGTTCAACAGTTTTAAAAAGAATAACAGAAAATGGTCAATTGGTTTTTTCAATTGATAAAAAAATGTTATTTCTGTTTTTTTTTTTTTCAATTGCTAGAGCAAGTCTTCTTGTTATTGGAAACTAGTCTTTTTTGATAAACAACTCTGTATAAGAAAGCTCCAAGGAATTTGTGCATAGTTATTTCCGCGTGCTCAAATAACTACTTTTTAGTCCAGTTTAGTAATTCTTGAAAAATTGTGTAGTTTTTTCGTATTTGTGGTTTTGGTTTTAATTTCTGTCAGCGCATTTCCAGCTTTTTAGCGGCTTACTTTCTAAAGCATGGGTTTTACTTTGATTTCAGCAGTTTTACTTTAATTGAAAGTTGCTCTGTAGTTTGTAAATAATTTTACCTCTGATTTTGAATAATTTTATGTGATGCTTTTGCCTGTTTGTATTTGGCTTAGTGAGCTTATATTGGCTAGTTTCAGGGGCGGATTTAGGGGGGGACGCCCCCCCTTCAGGGATTCGACCCCCTGCCGACCCAAAGGGTCCCCCTTCGAACTATTTTAAGATATCCAATTTTGGCTGACGGACCCTAAATTTTTTCTAAAGGCGCCTTTGGCCCCAATATACACTAATTTTAAGGGAGGAGCGCGCGCCAAAAGTACTTAGAAACGCCTTTTTTGACTGTTTTTTTTTCAAAATTTTGCCTGCGAAACGGAGTTTTTAGTGCTTTGGGAGAGCTCGAAAAACTAACTTGGTCGACCTTAAAAAAGGTCGACAAAATTTCGACATTTTTTTGAAAATCCGCCTCATTCCTCGAGAAAATCCTAGATCCGCCTCTGGCTAGTTTTGAAGAGAAAGCAAGTGTTCTTAATTTTCTCTGTTTCAGGAGAGATGGTCGTAAGAACTTAACAGCTCAATTTTTTTTCGAGAACAGTTTTCAAAACTTTACATCACTTAATTTTTTATAAGAACAATTTTGTTTCCGGCTTAACGGCGGGCGTCAACCCAATTTTTGTAGATGAAGTTTTTTTGGCCTGTTTCGATTAATTTTATCAAGTATTTTTCTAAAACAAATTCCCTTGCAACGTTATTGCTGTCTCGCAAGTGTTGCGAAGCTCCGAAAAAGTGTTTCTTTAAAAAAATTTCATTTCAATGCTATAATTAGTATAGATCGAACATTATGTGTCAAAATGACAGCAATCGGTGGTGATTGTTCTGTTTTAAACAAGCTGCGGTTTTAGATTGATCAAAGTGGAGCCCGGACTGAAGTTTCAGTGCAGACTGTGCGAAAAATTCTTCCTCAGTAAACCCTCTTTAGAGTACCATGTACGGTCAGGCAGGTGCAAACATCCTGCCATCAAAGATTATAAACCCAAATTCAGCCGGCGCAAAAGAGATCCAGATTTGCCGGAGGTACCACTGGAGCTCTCGGAGAATGAGTTGAGGCTTGGCAGAAAAAGAACGGGTGGTAATTTCCCTTGTGAAGTGTGCGGAAAAGTGTTCAACAGGGCAGACCATATGAGGCGGCACTTGGTTGTACATACGAAAGAGAAGATGTTCACTTGTAAAACTTGCGGCAAAAGTAAGAGTATATTTCATTTATTATTATTGCGGAAGTGTTCTGTAGCAGACGAAAATCCAATTAAAATAGTACGTACTAAGAAAATTTCGCCGAATATTTAGAAATTTGTTAGTGCCTTGTACACATTGAAAACCTGAAATTTTAAAGCGTCTCGAATTGACAGTGCATAAAGACAGTGGCTTTTCCTTCCCCCTCACTGTAATATTTTACTGCAAAAATTTTCGTTTACATTGTCGGATTGTGATGAAAAATGGGATGCTGACTACAAATGGGCAATTTTGATCATGTTTGGTCTTCATACAATACCTTGTTAAGACACTCGTTCGTTACACCATAAAATATGTGCAGAGTTTATCAAAGGAAAAAAGCCCTAAAATGTTTGAAATGTCTTGAATTCTTGATGGCTTCAGTAGCAGCATATTTTTTTCAGACTTCACCCAGAAGAGCAGTCTCAGCACTCATGAGAAAATCCACATCGCGAGCACTGGCCAATCAGCGAAAGGCAGCAATGTCAATATCGACGACGTCATGATCACTTGCAAATTATGTGACCGGAAGTTTATTCAGAAGACGAACTACAACAACCACCTCAAAAACTGTCATCGAGAAATATTCGGAGAGGATGATTCGGAATCTTTATCATGCTATTTTTGCAAATGTACATTTAACACAAAACTAGGTTTGTCGGCCCATATAACCAGACATCATCCTGAACATGCACGTGTGAAAAACAGGATCCCATTTGTCTATGATCCCATAAAGGAGAATGGAACTGTCAGCATCAAGGGCGACAGTTACAGAGCTATGCCGCTGAAGCAAGCTGCGGCTGGTGAGTGCTGATTTTACCTTAGAACAGAGTTTCTCGGTTTCACTTAGGTTGATTAGTTTTGAAGGATGTAGAGGAGGCAATATTTGTTTTTTTTTCCGGGATGCTTCGTCTTTTTTTTTGGTTGATTTGAACTTCAAATTCATTCGATGAAAGTAAGAAAATTGCGTTTTCTAATTAAGCAAGCGAAATAGAGCAAAACAAAAGCGTGAACAATTTTTAGTTTCGAAAGTGGATTTTGTTTTTTAGATTTCTTAGCGGAATAAAAATTTACTTATTGATCCCGTCTTCTCAAATTAGGATACTTTTATCAAAAAAAATCGCCAATCATAATTTCTTTTTTGAAGTTTAAATAGCTATTCAGCCATATTTTTCGAAGGTCTTAATATAAAAAACGGGTCATTCAGTTTTTCTGATTTTCTTGCGTTCATTGACGCGCCTATCGCCAGGTCACTGGGAAAAAGTTTTGTTAATCAGACAGTTTATAACTTATCTGGGCGCCGTGTGTTCATCACCTTTGTTGTTATAGTGGTTATCACGCGTTCATTGATTATTTTCCAACTGTCTATGGGCTATGTTTTAATTGATTGTTACGCTTGCTAAAATATCTGCTTTTTAATTTTTTACGCTTGCGATAAGCAAGCGTTATCAAACTGGAATGTAGACTTTTTTCCAGGTTAGCAACTTGTTTAACAGAATCATTTGAATCACTTGTATCTTGGTTCATAATAAATTCAAACTTATTTGCGTTTCCAGCCACTTTAGCCTGGAGGTAACGATTATGCCTTGGACGGCAAAGGTCCTGGGTTCGAATCTGAGTAGGAAATATTCGGTTTCAAATGAAATTGTCGGCCAATTATTTGTCTGGTTATTTGTTGTCGGCATAGTTGTCATTATCTTGGAAGCGTTTTTTTTTGCTGCGCGCATTTTTCTTTAATGTTGCTTTTAGTGTTTGAACTACTCCTACAATATGTAATTTTAGTTACCTTGACTTATTTGTTTTTTTTTGTTGTTTCGCTAACAAAAAAATTATCGGCACGAATTAATTCGGCCTATTTTTCATCGGCCTAATGACCTATTTGTGGGTAGTTTCAAGGCAAACATAATTTTAACACTTCCCGCCGCTCTTTTCAAATTAATTTTTGTTAACCAATCGGTTTGTTGACAGTTATTTTTTCGTTTTGAAAAATGTTTTCACATTTTCCAATTTTTTTTGTTTTTCTCACACATTTCTACTGAGTTTCATAAATAAGGTAGCAATTAAAAGACCGCCCATTACCTTGTGTGCTTGGATACTCCCCTAGAGTCTTTTTCTTCTTGACCCTTCTGTTTAGCGCCTTCGAAAAAATGTGGGGGATTATTTGATCCATATTTTTGATTTTTTTTTTCGTTTTCTCGATAACTACCTCTCAAATCGTGAGTTTTTGGTTTAAATGATTAGAACTTTTTAGAAAAGCTCCCCTGCATAAGCAGCCACTCACAAAGTTGATTTTACACAGAAAGTTATCGCCCTCGGAAAAGCCAAATTTTTGTTTTTTTGATCGTTTTTGAAACTTTTTAAATTGTCTCGAAAACTTCCCTGCCATATCTGAGATTTTGGGTTTAAGTCAAGGAAGGGTTATCGGAAGCCCATTTGTTTATGCGACCACGGCCCAATTTTACTGACACCAAAATTCATGACCCTCGTGAATTTGATTTTTTGACCGTATTTTTGGTTGTTTTGGTTGTTTTTTTTTGTAATCGAAAACTGCCCTCCCAAATCTGACATTATGGGTTCAATCGAAATTATAGGTTGCTTAATTTTCTTCTGCATGAGCGCCTCCGCTCTGTTTTTTACACAAAAAACATTGGTTTTGGAATAACATTTTTTAAATGTTGAACTTTTTTGGACTTTCCGTTTTGTTGACCGTTTTTTTTGGATTTTTCTCGCTAGCTATTCTGCCAAATCTGATATCATAGGTTTAATCGAAACAATATGTTTTTGAAAGCCTACTTTTATAATTGGCCATGCCCGGTTTGTTTAAGAAAAAAAGATGGCCTTCAAACAAGTCAAAGTGAAGAAACTTACATAGTTTTTTGGAAACTTTGTGACTTGACGCGAAAACTACCGTATCAATTCTCCGGTTGCGTTCAATCGAGAAACTCGATTTTGAGAATTTTCTAGTTTTTGAACATGTAATTTTTTTCGACATGTTCAAAAACTTTCTTTATGTTTGTATTGTATCGCAAAGATCCGCTTCGCCTTTGTGTCAATGCTTTCATTTCAGTGAATCAACTGAAGTTTGGTTTCGGTTCTTTAGCTCAGTAACACTAAAAAAATTCCATTTGAAATGTTTGATTTTTTCGGTTTAGTGTCGCAAACAACAAATAGCTTCCGAAAACAGATGTTTGGTCCGACCGTGTTCAACTCGGGAAAATTCTCCATTTCACCTGAATTGTTTTCTCAGTCAAATGGCCGAAGTGTCTACGTTATGGACTCATACAAGGCTGATGATGAACCAAAAAGAGTGAAGCCATTCAACAAAACGAAATCTGCTTCAAAGACCGAACAGGCAATTGAAATGGAAGAAGTTGCAATACCTACAAGGAGAAGACACGACGCGAATGACAGTTTGGCTAATTTAGACATTCATCTAAGAAGACTGGGACCTGAAGGAAAATTTGAAGCCAGCGTTTGTCATTTCTGTGGCAAAGAGTTCACTAGAGCGTGTGATTTAGGTAAGTAAAGATCACTAGAAGCTGTTGTTTTTTGTGTTGTATTGCATAATTTACGATGAATCGTAATCTATTATATATTTAAATGCGGGCTTCACTATCTCGCTATGCTTAAGCTGTCTCAACGTATTATTTTTCCATGTTTAACAAAAGAATTTTTTCACGTTTAAGATATATCGTATTTTGCAATAAATACGTTTTTTTTAATTTTCCGATTGATTCAGTGTTTATTTCATCAACCCAATTGAAATTCGCAACCCAATTGTAGGATATTGCCAGAGTTTTCCCAGGTTTTGCGATTCTAGCCTCCATATATGAATAACCAAATCCTTTTAGTTTACGAGATAGGCAATTTTCGAGATTTTTCAAAAATTTCTAGAAAATTTAATCTATCAAATGCGGGCTTCACTATCTCGCCATGTTTAAGCTTTTTCAACGTATTATTTCTCCGTGTTTAACAAAAGAATTTTTTCACGTTTAAGATGTATCGTATATTGCAATGGTTAAGGTTTTTTTTCGATTTTACAGTTTAAATTCAGTGTTTATTTCATCAAGTTTGAATTTAGCAACCCAATAGTGGGATATTGTCAGAATTTTCCCAGGTTTTGCGATTCTGGCCTCCACATATGAATAAACAAATCATTTTATTTTACGAGATAGGCAATTTTCGAGATTTTTCAAAAATTTCTAGAAAATTCAATTTAGAAAAATTTCTCAATTTGTGAAGTTCTCACTTTGTACTTGGGTGCTGTCAAAGTTCTCTCAGGGGTTGCGAATCTTGCCTCTGATTATGGCTGCTCAAATCCTTGTAGTTTTTTTTTCAAATTTTTTCAGAAAACTTAGATATAAATAATTTCACATTACTTGAAATTACCATCTCTGTAGTGAGACTTTGTCAGGGCACTCTAAGGAGTTGCAAATCTTGCGTCCAAATGCGACTGCTCAATTGCTTTCAGTTTCCCAGATGTGACGTTTTTAGTTCATTTCAAATTTTTTGAAGAACTTATATTAAACTTCATAAAATTTTATGGTTCTTCAAAATTTGTATAAAAAACTTGAATGAAAAACTTTGCAAAATTTGTAATTACGAATTCTGTGATTGGGTGTTGTCAGAGTACAATCAAAGAATAGTTTTTTGAGTTGTTGAAACTTCGAAGCACCGGAGGTGCGTTACACGCTAGTTTTTAATTTACTTGTTACTATGAAATTTTATAGTGTTGTGTTGAAATGAACCAATAGCCCTAATGTTGATAAATGATTTGCTGTTTCAGTGAGGCATATTCGCAAACATACAAAAGAGAAGCCTTTCTCATGTCCCGAATGCAACAAGAATTTCACAAATCGGTTCAACAGAGACCAACATTTAATCAAGCACGACCAAAACTTCGTGGAAAAGCTTCTTTCCAAATGCGAGTTCTGCGGTAAAATTTTAGCGAACTCTCAGACGTTGAGTGCTCATATGAGAACGGTTCATTCTGGATTGAAACCATACCAATGTGAATTTTGCAAGAAACATTTTCCAACCAAAGGCCAAATGGAAAGTCATAAGAAGATGCATGAAAAGAAATTTACAACGCTCGAATCCAAAACTTCAAATAATGAAAACGAAAAAAATAATGACGAAGCAAGTTCCTTAAATGTAGAGTTGAAAGAACCCTTATTGATCACTAGTGCTGGAGTTTTTAAAACATTATCAGCTAAGAGCGATCACGAGTTTAACCAATTCGAAAAATCCAAGAGTGGATACAATTTCCAGTGCACAAAATGTGACCGTAAATTCAGAAGAAACGTAGATTGTCAAAGACATATCGCGTCTCATAATGATACTAATTTGAAGCCATTTAAATGCACTCTTTGTCATGATAGATTTAAAACTAATGTTACTTTGAAGCACCATCTTTTGAAGCATTTCAGAAATGATAAAAAATTCAGCTGCGATGAATGTACGAAGAAATATTCAGTGAAGGCCAATTTGAAATGGCATAAGGCGGTCGCGCATAGCATTACAAAACCGTTCATGTGCCCATATTGCGGGAAAAGTTTCAAGCTTATGTCCTTGTGCAAAACCCATATCAAAACCCACAGGAAGGCTTTGCAACAAAACAATGAGGTTAAGAAAGTTCCGATCGCAGAAATTGATAAATCGATAATTCCAGAGCCCGTAGAGGATGCTATTGCTGTCGGAGACGCAGACTCGTCGCTTAAAATCATTCCGAAACCGACCAGCAAAAAATATGGAAGTGAGGTTGAGATTTTGGATGCCGGAGAATTTTTGAAGGAGAGAAGCAAGACACGTCGGAAGAGTCCGCTGATTTCCGAGATTCCAGCCAATTCAGAGGCAGGCATTACTGTTTGGCTGAAAAGTGCAGCTGAGATTGGGTCAGAAACAGGGCCGATTCAGGTGAAATTAAGGACAGAAAGTTCCGACAAGACTCCAGGATTTGTTAACACCTCGGAAGAGGCATGCAGTTCAAGGAGCGACTATAACGTCAGTAGTGATGATGGAGTAACGGATACAATTTTTGGCGGATCTTCATTTAATCGAAGTGATCTGAAGTCATCAAGCGCGTTTCACAAGGCACGTATCGAAAAGAGTCCAACATTGCAACAATCTGTGCATGTGCAAAATGTCCTCAATAACAGCTCGTTAGAACCAAGTGAGAATGAAGCAATAGGTGTCGGATTTCATTTTTGTGAAGATAAGGAAGTATCTAAAGACGGCACAGTTAGGGCTCCTAATATTCTAAAACGAAGAAATAAAAACTCGCCGAAAAAGCGTCAATCAAAACCTATTGATTTAAGTAGCAGGCTGATTCTTGCAGAAGCACCTGTGATAAAAGATAATTCAGTTATCCCGATGGAAGATCAAGGTGCTAATGGTGGAAATCAGCCGTCAATCGTTAACGTCGATCAAAATGATTCTAATACTGATCAGCTTGACATCTCCTCGGAGTTTCCAAACCGAACCAAACGACCGAATCAGATTTCAAGTGCAATGTTTTCTCCAATAAAAGGGACGAAGGTATCTGGAGATACAGCTGCAGGCATGGCAGAAGTTAGTGCTTTCAAAGATGTACCCGAAAATAGAGATGATTTTTCTGCTAAATTTGCATGTCCAAAATGTTCTAAAAGTTATCCAACTGCTTTGCAGCTGAAAGCACATCGTATCATTACTCACGGGTCTTCAGATGTTGTCGATCTGACTGTTAAAAAAGAGATCTCGACTGACAAAATGAAAAGTTGTCAACCAGAAGAAAGTATCTTGGCTTTGAGGAACGATAAAACATGGACTATGGAAGATAGAAACAGTCGGAAATTTATCAAAAGAGATATCTCCAGTTATGAACAAATTAGAACCAGTCTGAAAAACTTCAAAACCAAGTGCTCAGTTTGTCTCGTATCATTTACAAATTTCGCCAGACTGCAGGCTCATTTCCAGTCGTACCACGTGGTCAAACCGCAGTGTTTAAGCGGAAGTCTGAACGTCTCTGGACCTCCGCCTAAATTCTCAGACCCGGAGTTTATCCGAATCAGTCGCCGAGATGCAAGTGATATAAAGCATAAAATGTCGCAGACAGCCAAAGAAGACAGATTGAATGTAACAGTATCTGAAAAGATACTGTTGAGGTCAATTGATGATATTGATCGTGAGATGCGAAAAGATATTTCTTCTGGTAATTATGACCAGCAGATAAGGATGAAAAATAATAAGTCGAATCAGTGTCAAGATTGTCCGAAGGCGTTTTCGTCTGTGTCTGCATTGACTCAGCATAGAAGATCCCATACTGATGAGAGACCTTTCGTGTGTGCAATTTGTGACAAGGGATACAAGACTAAAAGCTCATACACATACCATGTCACGTAAGTTGTAGTTTGCGCAGTTTTTCACTACTTTTAGGAATTTTTTCACTGAAGGGCTTTACTTACAACACATGTGAAAAAAAGGAGCTTTGGCGAGCGAACCCACGTTAAACCAGGGGCGGATTTTGGGGGAGGGCGGATGCCCCCCCCCCCCCCTCCTCAGTGATTCGACCCCCTGCCGACCCAAAGGATCCCCCCTTTAGTACTTCTTAAAAAATCCATTTTTGGCAGACCGACCCTACAATTTCTCTACAGGCGCCTTTGGCGCCAATATATATTAATTTTGAGGAGCGCGCGCCAAAAAAAAACAGCTTTTTTGACCTGTTTTTTCTAAAATTTTCCTGCGGCGCAGAAAATTTGGCCAAAACAGCGTCTTTTCAGTGCTTTCATTAGGAAAGCTCGGAAAATCAATTTGGTCGACCTAAAAAAAAGGTCGTCAAAATTTTCGAAAATTTTTTGAAAGTCCGCCCCCTCTAGAAAATCCTAGATCAGCCTCTGCTTTAAACTGTTGTATACATTAAAATCAAAAGCAGTGTTAGAAAAAAGGTCGTTTTTCAGATAAAATTAGTAGCAAAAAGAGAATCTGTGGATTCCTAAATGAGTCCAAATTTAATTGTAATTGTGAAAATAAATTCTGATAGAAACTGTTTTCAAACCCCACGGGCGTGATTTTCGACATTGAAAAATTCTTCTTATTACTTAAACATGGACATGTTCCAGTGGCCACTTCCGCACTCGTAAACTGTACAAATGTCATCTGTGCAAGCGTCAGTTCGTCACAGCCTCCTCTCTCAGTCTGCACATGAGACTGCACAGTGGAGCAGCCCCTCTGCAGTGTCGATTCTGCACCAAACGATTCCCATCTTCATACTCCAGGCAGTACCACATGGACCAGGTGCACTTCACGTCACGCATGCACGCCCGCAGACAGAAGGTATTACTCATGCTGTTGTTAAAACTAACGTACTATCAAGTTTATTTTATTGAAGGATTTCGAGAGTTTTAACGATATTTTACAAAGAATATTAAAATTTCAGACAACTTTGAAATGCGAATTGAGCGACTCATGGAGATTTTGAATGAAAGTGTTCTGAAATAGATCATTTGCAACTCTCGATAAGTCATCAATTTGATGTTTTCAATTACAAGCTGTAACTCAGTTCCAAATTGAAGAGATCTTTATGGCGCTCAGTTTGAAGTATTGCTTTTTTCTATTTCTAAATAGCGTTTAAAAGAAATAAGGCTAGACTGGAAGAGTGTTTTTTTTTCAGCAAGCGGAGCTCCGAAAGAAGTATAAAAGAAAACAAGCAGATCCCAAAAAGAAAGACACTGTAAGTGACATCCAAAGAAGTGCTTCGGAAAGTGAAAAACCGGTGTTGCTACAGGAACCAAATCTTGGCACGCAACCTGTAGGTGAAGAAACTCAAGCTTACCCACAAATCGTTGATCAACCTCAATCAGAAATACTAACAGTTGCTACTAGTACATCAATTCAAACGGGAGTTTACGAAACAACAGCAGCATCAAACAGTATTTCAGACTTCCCTGTAGAATCTCAATTCATTAGCTATACCAGTGAAAACACATTTGAGAGTAACAATATGAATGTGCAATATATTGCGATTCCCTTTGACGATTTGAGCTTTCCAGTTGATTCGATAATGGATGAAAGTGGAAGTTATAATTGGCTAACCATTCCGTCGGCTAATTGCGACACTCAACTTGAGCATCAAAACATTTTCTATGATGATACGGGTGGATCCATTGGGTTCATACAGCCGAACGTACAGATACAAGATCAGAATCTTCAAATCGCATCCTCACATAGTGACAGATTCGTGTATGCTGATAGTAACACTGGCAATGAGTTCTTCCCGGTTAATCTACCGCTATCACAAAGGTTTTTCAGCACAGAAGATAATTTTGCTTATGTAGAAAACAGCAATTTGGGGCCAAGGCCTGATCAGTTCTGAGTTTTGAGAAACTTGGTAAAAACTGTTGAACTTAAAAAGGTAGATCTAATGAACCTGATGAAAGATAATTTATAATAATTCTTACTTCTATGTTGTAATTACATTGATGTTCAAAATCTTTGCATATGTTGATCTAGAATGAAGTTCAGTTTAACATAATTTTCGAAGTAATCGAACATGCTTCTGAAATCGCGAGTTTCACTAATTCGCTAATTTTGATACAGCTAGATCAGGGGCGGATTTAGGGTGAGGGGTGAATGCCCATCTTCAGAGACTCGACCGCCTCACCAACCAAAGGGTCCACCTTTTGTATTATTTTGTCATCATTTTTAGCCGATAAACCATAATTTTCTTCTAACGGGCACTTTGGCGCCAATATATACTAAATTTTAAAAAGAGCGCGCGCCAAAAAAATGCAATTTTTGGTCAAAATTTTCCAATAGTGCCCAAAACGGCATTTTTCTTCTTTCAAACTTTTGTCTGCGGTGCAGAAGGTTTTCTTCAAAATACGGTTGTTATAGCGTTATGGGAGAAAAGCAAGTTGGTCTACCTTAAAGATATATGTTTTTTTTTTGTAAATCTGCCCCCCCCCCCCCCCCCCCTCGAAAAAATCCTAGACCCGCCTCTGAGCTAGATCATTAAATGGATCATATAAACTTTCTAAGATACAGATGACCGATGAAAGGAAGTATATGGGCAAAAAATTGTTGTAAAACGTCTTTACGGCTGAACTGCATCATGTTTCATTATTGAATAAACCGAAGGCGTCTGAGTTAGAGAAAATGTTATGTTCCCATACACTTTACTACCATAAAAACAGCCTGTAACCTCATACTTGAGTCTTCGGAGGTAAATGAAATTGCTAAAACCAACTGCTCTGGCCGCAGTCCGATCTATAAACACACCCCACCTCCTCACTGAATGCATAACGCGTACTTTTTCAGGTGAAGGTAATTAGCCTTACGACTTTTTTTCTCGTCAACAATTTTGTCCACATGGTCTTCACTTCTAGAGGATCCTCACTTTAGAAGATCTTTCATCTGACATGCTCAATTTCTTGAAAATTCAAAAGTACTATGACTTAGCTAGTAATAAGCTCAAGCCCGTTTCAGTTTGTAATTATCTTTTCAAAGAAATGTAAAAAAACGTCTGGTTTTCGTCCTAGTTTCTGTCGGTTCAATTTCCGCTTTTTGAACACCATTTTTTTTATCTGGTAGGGTTTTTATTGGTTTATTTTTTAAAGCATGGGTTTTGTTCCAATTCAAACAGTTTTTACTATAACTGAAGCTTCACAAATTTGTAAATTTACCATGTCTGATAGTGAGTTTTTTTCGTTTTTTTTAAATATTCAAACAGTTTCAGTTTGTTATATCAACTGAGTCAGATTATTTTGCGCAATTTTGAGGGCAAAATATATCGGTTTGGGAATGTTCAAAAATATGATACTTATCACAGGTTGATATCAAAACAAGGTATAATCAACAGTTGAATTAGAGGCGTAAAAATTAGAGGAAAAATTAAAATTAGAGGATTAAAATTAAAAAATTAAGAATTAGAGGAAAAAGTCAACTTCTATATAAATGGAAGGTTGAGATCTGATATCGTGCGTGCCATCGTGCGATATCCAAATGTGTTGCAAATTTGAGCGACAAAGTGGGAAGTGAAACCTTCATATAGTTAAAAGTCATTTCTCCGAAACTCAACAAACGTTTTGAAGCTTATTTTAAGCATAATTAAAGTAAAATTCATGATCTAGCGGCTCAGTCATTGCAGGCAATTTTCTCTTATCAGTTTGTCATATGTTTGCACGCCAGATCATGCGTTTTTCTATTTAATATAAGAACTTTTTGTAACATCCACATAAGGTTTAAGCTTGCGACTAGTAAGCGATATCTTATCGAAATAAAGATTTTTTTCGGGCTAACAACTAGTTTAACAAAGTGACTGTTTCATTTGGCCGGCTTTTTTAATTGGTAAACCAAGTTCGTACCCATTTAGCACAGAGCTAACCGTCATACTCGGGTCGACAATTGTTTTGGGTTCGAATCAGGTCAGTCTTGTTTTTTTTGCATATTAATATTAACAATTATTTGTCTGCTATTCTTTGTTTGATGGTTTTTGTCAATTTAGTTGCGTCAGCACGAAACATGTTTATATTTTCGACACTTTCTACTGTCATTCAAAACCCTTTTAAACTATTCGGTAAATGGTACAAAAAAAGTAAACTCCACGAAATCTTGCTTTTTGGTTGTTGATTTTTAATGAACGTTTTTATGATTTTTTTTGAAATCTTTTCATTTCTCTAATCCAAAAAAGTGTTATTTGACTACTTGTCTTAATTTTTGCGAATTCTTGAGCCTTTTTAATTACATTCATTTATATTTCATTCTTAGAAATTCTCATATGATTGCCTTTAAGTATATATGCAATCTTTTAATTCAATTCAATTTCATTTGCAAGAAAGCAAGCATACTACAACATTCATTTACGAAAGCTAAATTGGCGGGAAAAAACGCAATAGATTTGTACTTTCGAAAGTGGAAATTATATATAGGTCTGTCAGCGAAAAAAAAATGTTTTCCTAATCGAGTTTTCTCACATTTGAATAATTTTACCAGAGTGCCATTTTCAATTACTGTTAAAGACATATAATTTTTGTTTGAAATTCAAAAATGGAATCTTTTTCAAAAACGTTTGATTTCGCGTTCATTTGATCTTTTTCAAATAGTTGCTCACTATGTGTGATTTATTGAAGTGAACTTTTATGAATAATCAGCTTAAGAGAATGGCTAAATTGTACTTATTTTTATAAAATTTCGACTTTATTGGAAAAAATGATGGAAAGTGTCGCCTTTTTTTCAGTCAATTTTTACCCGCTTATTCTGGGATAATTTTTTGTCTGGCAAGTGATGCGAATCTCTGTTCATTTAAATTTTTTTTCTTTTGCCTATGTGATGCATTACTATTGAGAGTTTCACTAGTAGAAGAAAATACCAATCTCTGCTACATTTTGAATGCATTTTCAGATGTTGATGCTTCAGACATCAGTGAAACGTCAGTTTTGCCAAAACGGGTGTTTCCAGTTCCCCACTTTTCCTAAAATTACAAAATAAAAAAGTTAAAAAGTTCTTCATTGAACTGCATTTAAAATGCGTCAAAACTTTATATTTTATGCTTAGAGTCGATGAAGCAGGCTCTTATTTAAGTCGCGATAATTGTTCTTTTGTTTTTTTTTGTCAGAAAAAGTTTAAAACTTGTTAGGGCTCACATTTGATTTTTCGAGGTATGATCTTCGATTTTTCTCTAACTTTAATTCTTTTCCTTCGTAAAAAGGAAAGCAAACTCGACTTTCAAACACCAAAACAGTAAAAGTCACAAAAAATTGACGTATTAAAATATTTTTCAGTCATTGTGTTTGTGTTTACTTTGTTCATTGACTCTTATCTAGCTGTATGTTGGCTATGTTTTAGTTCAGAAAATCAAATTCAAAAAGAAAGATTTGTAGAACTTTCAAATAGAAATTAAATAGACCGAAAATCGAGGCAGAAACATTTTAAGTCCAAGCTCTGAAACATTTGAAGTTCCCCTTCTCAACTCCTCCTTAATCCATTTACTTAAGAAAACTTTTGTTTTGATATGAGTATTGAACTCTTTTTCTAGCTCAAGTTCTTTCTTTTTATCATCGTCAACTATCTTCGAGTCTTCAAATTGTCCGGAAAATCTTTCAACCTTCTAATCTGTCTCACTTCAAATGAAAGTATTATTGACAATGAATCCTAAAAAAATGTTCTCGACGCTATCAAAATTTAATTTTGCTGGGTTTCTAAACCCTCTCATTTTTCAAATAAAAAAGGTTTTATTGCTCAATTAGAAGGTAAAACACCAATTGCCTTGTTAAAAACGCGCCTTTTCTCTGAAAAACACTTGCCCTCTCCCCTAAGAAATTTTGAGGCTGAGACCAATTTCTTGGAAGTTCCTGATACATTGAAAAAATCTCTCAGTGAAATGTTTTTGTAATTTCCCTACGCTAATTTCAAATCTCACTTTCTTAATACCTGAGTCTCAGTTTTGTTGGCGTTTGCATACTGCAATTGTCCCTCAATTTTTAACTAACACAACCTCAACCCTCTCGGCTGACTTGTAGAAGCTAAAATGGGTTTCATTTGTTTCGCCTGATTTTTGCTCATATCCCTTACTTCTGTTTCTGTTGAGTCTTTCCTACAATCCCTAGCATTGTGTCATAAAACTAAGCATCTGAAAATACTCACAGCATAACTATCAATGGATAACTGGTTTGTCTTATTCACTAATTTAAACAATGAGCTGCTGTACCTTATCCGATAACTACTTTGAAAATCTGGTTTACCTTATTCACGAAATATAATGAGCTACTATGCGTCATGTGTCAATACACTTCCAAGTTTTTGTCTTTGAGTTGAGCCAATGTTCAGTCTTCTCCTTCTCATTTCAATGACCACATTCAAAGTTTGTCAACCCAATCTTAAGTTCAGTCATATCATCATTACTAAGCCTTATCAAAATACAAAAAGTATCACAGTCTTTAGAAGTATTTAGAAGGCGTTTGAGGATGATCGATATAAACATTTCTGCACTTGAACATTCGCGTGTTTCATCTAAATTACCTGGCAGTGTTCAGCTCTCGTAATATGACCAGTTTTATTCTCTTTAGCTTCCAATCTAAGCGATGTTGATTTTAAAATCAATTGCTGAAGCCTCCGTCTCTCAACGTTCTTAATTTTTTTACACAAAATTTCCCAAAACTTAAGTCCCTTGCCTTCATGGGGTCTAAAACCAAATGGATTTGTTATCCAAACATTGGAGTGGATCATACCAAAAACCAAACATACAATATTTTTTCAATCAAAAACTTATCTTCCTTTTTTTAAAGATGCATCATTTTTTTAAACAGTTTTACTAATTCTAACATTGGGTGCAAAACTTTTCTCGTCTTCTTCAGCTTTGATAGTTTTATTCAATTTAGGATGAAAAATTCTAGCTTCAAACTGCTGTGCAAAAATTAGATTTTTTTCATCTTAACTCGAAAATATTAGCCTCGCTGACTTAGGTAATTTTAGCCTAAACCGTTTTGTTCTGAACAAATAACCTGTGTTCAGGTACTTTTCAGTGACAGAAAGTCAGTCTAATGAAAGTCAACAAATGTATCGCTGCGCCTGATAAAAATAAAGATGTATATTTCACCTAAGGGCGATAAAAAAAACCTAACAGTCTACGTACCGAACAACAAATCAGCTATTAAGCAAAGGTTATTTCACTTTTCAAGATTTGCAGTATATATTACCAACAGATAATCTTCGGAATGTTTAGTTTTGTGGAACATTTGTTCTTTAAATCAGTCTGGATTCAGATCTCGTAGCGATGGATTACGATTCCCCAAGCATCAACATTTTTTCAAAAAGTTCATAGAATTCCACTTTAATAGGTTTATCAAAAATGCTAGTTTTTGTTCCGACGATTGAAAATGGGGAAGAATTTTGTATTCGGGTATTTCAGTTTTTTTTGTTTTTCACGCAAAATTAGGGGCTACAAATAATCATTGGCCTAGCTTCAGTGGTATATTATATTAAAGCTCATTAATTGAACCACATATTGAACAACTTTAAAAAAAATTCCCAAAGTAGTGTCGAGAAAAACAGGTTTGAATTTTTTGGTTTAATTTAGCAGGCTTTTTCATGCTTATACCAAGCCGTTAATTTAGCTCAATTAATTTTATAATAGTTTAAATATCAAGAAAAATAGGTCTGAATTTTGAATTAATGCGAATCATCTGTTATGTGTTCTTACTTTTACTGTTGAGCTAGTTTTTTCTCTTTTTTTTTGTTTTCCACGCAAAGTCAGCTGCCACAAAAAAATCATCGGAGAGTTTTGAATGATATATCATACTGAAGCTCTTTCAGTTGTAATTCGATTGACATTTAGAATTTTCCAAAAAAGAATTCCCAGTGTTGAGCAAAATCGGTTTGAAGTTGTTGATTTTTATCTTTAATTCGAGCGAATCAAGCAAGCAAGCAGGCTTACAACAGCTTAATTATGTCAATTTAAACCTTAAAAACAAAGTTTTGAGCAAGTTAACTTCTTTTTGGAATTTAAGTTTTCTTTTGGGAACCAAAAACTTCAAAAAAAAATCAAGCATTATCTGCAAAAAAAAATATGAAAAAAAAGTTTAAAAAGTTGTTTTTCGTTTTTCTAACCATTTCTATAAATTGTTTTGTTCAAATGGTCTATGTTACTATGGCTGTCGAATTTGCTTAATTTATACTTTGAGGTCAGATCCTTTAATCACCCATGGCAAAAATAACTACACTGATTTGAAAAAAAAATCAGTTGTTTTTTAAAGACTATGGTCGGAGCATTCTGTGCTACTTGCACAGTAATCGTCTGCCTTTGTTTCATCTTTGGCTCCTGTTGGTAATTTTCATTATCGTTTTTGTGTACAATCGAAAAGTTTTGTATTCCAATAAACATAAAACTGGTGTCCCAAAAAAACAGATTTTGCTTCAGTTTTTGTTCACTAAAAACATTACCGACATCTAAGACACGACAAAGTTTTACCAATTTTTCAACAAAGACTTTCTTCATTTTTAAAAATTCTAGTTCATGGCATTGACTTGCATCAAAATAGCCCTCCATTGCTGTTAATCAAAGGACCCCGAAGCAATGAATCAAGTGAAACGCGAGCAAAATGAAAAATACAAGGTCAGAGTTAAGTATTGCGACCAAAATACTTAATATTTTTTTTATGCGTTTTTGGAATACAATGTGGCAAACTTTCAATCCCACTATCCAGAGTCTCTGTTACTATATCCACAATAAGACGAAAATGAGATGTCTTTATGAAATACATGCGACGAGTCAAGCGAAACGTGAGTTAACTGATGAATATACATTAACATTGCAAAGCGGCTCAGTTTCCCTGAAGTTTTTTTCATATTTAAGGTCGCTTTGTCAAGGGCTCTCCGTTTTTTTTCTTAAACAAAAGTCAATATAATTTTTCACATATACTACCGATGAGGAGAGCTTTGGATTTGAATGTGCTGTTCTGTTGGAAAGTCAAGTACTCTATATAAACAAGCGAAATTAAACAGAGTTTTTCGCAGTCGCTCTTTGAGAAAGTCAAAAAATAGAAAGTCATGAAATTTTGCTATTTAGATTATAGAAGACAGAGTGAAATAATGCGACTGAAATAGCTATGATTTAGTGGCATTTTAAAAGTATAAGACAGTAAGTTTCAGCTCCTTCACTTAGTGCACTCAAGGAAACGCCATTAAAATAATCGAAGTAGATTTTCTATTTTGAAAAATGTAGTTTTTAAGAAAAATTTTTGTAAAGATGCCTGTGATTAGAACATCGGCTATTTTTGCTGAAGTTGTTGATGCTCACAGTTCCCGTAAATAGCCGTGTTTCCTGTATATAAGTTTGTTCACAGGATGACTGAAAATGGTGATCATCTGGATTTTTACCTTCGTCAACAAACAGACAATTTTTCAGCATGTCTGCATTTTAAATGCACGTTCTAATCAAAAATTGTATTTATGTTGGTAGTAATTTTATCAACTTGATTTCAGTGTATCCGTTTTTTCGTTTTTTGATTGTTTTCTCTTTATTCGGTTTAAGAGGTTTCGGCTCATAAAGTATTGGCTTAGAGGTCTCTTTTTGAGCAAAAAAAAATGTCTCAAAGCATTTTGAGGCTTTTTGAGTTTTTGAATTTTTTGATTATCAAAAATTTATTTTGGCGCAAGTTGTATGCTCCAAAATAATGGTGAACCAATTGACTCAGTTCCAAGCGGTCCTCGTTCGATTCCCGCCGGGATCATTTTTTGCATTGTAAAGACCTGCCAGTAAACCAGCCACCTATTGTAATAAATCACTCGGTGCAGTTTTATTACAACAAAAGCGGTTAATTTTAGAGGTAATTATAAGACGGAAATTCAAAGTTGTTTTTGCTCCTGGAAAAAATTCATCTCATAATGGAGAATCTAAGTTTATCGTTGGACGACTGGTCTCCTTTCACTTTCCGACTAATTGCCGATATCAGTTCCTTCGTCTGTTTGAGACTGTAAGCCTTGAGTCTGGCTGTCATCTCTGGAGAAAAGAAGCCACTGTCGATCCAGTCGTCGAAGTCTGGTATGAGGTCGAATGCCATCAGGTTGTGGTGGTTGCAGAGGCGGATGTTGGCACCATGTTCCAGAAGAAGACTGGCCCCGAAGGGGTTGTTGTTCTTGCATGCGTAGAACAGAGGACTGGAACCTGGATTGGAAAACATCAATTTGAATAGATATTTCGAGGGTTGAGTTTCTCGGAGATTTTATTAACACCCTGTATGCTGAAAACCCCTTTGAAGCTTTTTACACTTGCGAGATCAAGTTTCTTGTAATTGGGAACCAGACTTTTTCCCGTAAAAAACGTTTCTTAAATTTTCAATTTGCTGCTCAAAGATCGTCGGCTAACTTACCATTTTTTGCTGTAAGCACCTTTCATTAGTTGCAAATGCAAGTTTTGATCATTTTTGTTTCAGGGGAGACTTGAAACTTGAAAATTTTTTCTAATGAAATCATCTTTTTTTCAGCTCAACTTGTGTGTGCTCAAGGATTGTCGCGTTTGTTTCCTTTTTGTAAATTTTGTTCCCTTGCTTAATTAAAATTCAAACGTCTGGATATTTTATGTATAATAAAAACAAATATAATGAAAATGTATTAGATTTTATATACGGGATATTGCTTTTTTGAAAGGCTTTTAAATTTTTCTCAGAATGCTCAACACTTGGTTTTTCTCTAAAACAACAACTTTACTGGTTTTTTTTTTTTCAAAAAAAAAGTGGTGCGAATGGAAAGACCGCCCACTCTCCTGTGTGTTGGCTTGTGCCAGCAGTCTTTTTTCACACTATAAACCACTCTCTACAGACTTTGACAACTCTGTGGTGTGGAACGATTGACCCAAGTTTTTTTTTTCGTTTTCTAAAAACACCCGTGCAAAATCTCAAATCTTAGGTTAAAAAAACGCATTCTGTTAGGCTCATCTGAAACAGCGGTTACGTCCAAATGAATCTAACAAAAATTTATAGCCGTCGGAAAAATCAAACTTTGGTTTTTACCGTAATTTGAAAAATTTCGACCTTTTTCGAAACCTACCTTCCAAAATACGAAAACTTGGGTGCAAAAGAAACGGTGGATAGTGGGAAGCTCTTCTGCCTAAGACTTTGCGCCCACAATTTTACATAAAGAAGTATGGACCCCGCAAAAGTCAAACTTATGATTTTTTGACCGTTTTTCGAAGCTTTTTGACTTTTCTTAAAAACTGACCTCAGAGTTTCTGGGTTCAAAAGAAAAAAGGGGCTATGGGAAGCTCCCCTGTTTTAGCGCCTACGCCTAACTTTTTATACGAAAACTTTTGTCCTCGAAAAACTTAATTTTTGTTTTTGTACCGTTCTCGGAAACTTTTTGAGTTTCTCGAAAACTACCTTTCTAAATATCTGAAGTTTTGGGTTTAACCGAAAAAACTCCTCGTCAAAAGCGGCTGCGCCAAGTTTTATATACATAACAAATTATGGCCCGCGGAAATGTCGAATATTTGTTTTTTGACATTTTTTGATTTTACACGAAAACGACCGTGCCAATCCTCAGATAAATGATTCAGTCGAAAATAAAACAGGTTGTGAGAATCTTTCGCGCATAAGTGACCTCTCGCTCATGGGTTCGATCAAAGGAATAGGTTGTGGAAAAGTCTATTGCCCTGCCAAATTTCATATTGAGTTCAATTGAAGAACGGGTGATAGGTATCTCTAATCCCTTATTTTGGCAGGAACATCTAAGGTTTTGCGTAGAGTTCAATTTTGAAATTTTAAAAATTACGTATTTTATCCAGCTTCAGCAAAAACTTGCTCTAAAAATAACAAACATGCACTCCAGTTTTAGCTGGGCAACTAGTTTGTCTACAATGAACTTCTATCGAGACATACAAAAAATTAATTTTTGGTAGACTTAATGTTTTCAGCATTTTTATTTTTTTTTCGATCTTTTGTGTTTATTATGTTTGCGTTTTATCGCAAATGGTGCGAAGATCCGCTTCGCCTTTGTGTATTACTATGTCCTGGCTCTTAGCTTGAGGATGCGACAACAATTTGAAACTAAGAACTTAATTTAAAGGGCGCAAATGCTGTTCTCCCTGTAGAAAAAACAAACCCTAATTTTAGCCTTTACCTCACTGAGAAATGTCCTTGGTTTTGGCCTTCATACCATTACCGATTGTTACATAATAGCAAGTACCATTTCTGTCCTGAATATCCACATCTGCCTCATAAGTGACAACCATCAGTTCAATCAAGTCAGTGAACAACACATTGCCCGATACCAGATGGAGAGCACACAGTCCCTCCTGCCCATCGAAAGAGTCGGAGACAGAAGCCCCGTTGTCCAATAGGAAGGAGATGAGATCCACTAGCATGTCGCTTCTTGAGGTGCCGGTGAGGTATTTGTGGAGCAGTTTCTTAGCTTCGCCTTCCTGAAAGTAATTCGAAAGTTTTTCACAATTTTTCTCAAAAGGTTAGCTTGTCAGTTTTCATATTTTAAAGTTACATTAAATTTTTTTTTGCTCATTTTCATTCGCGTTTTTTCAATGTGCATTCATCACAATCGAAAATGGCTGGCTTCTTCAGACAAATAAAAAATATTCAAAGTTTGTTGAGCATTGATCTCCCGTGTGTAGATTGCGTCCTATTGAAGAAATGCTCTCCCAGTGGTCTGACGGTAGGCGCTACGCGCCGACAAGCGTCAAGCGTTTTCATCAATAGCTGGTGTCTCGCGAATCGAAATCACGTGGAAGAGGTATCAACACGATTGAGTACATCAAGCTTTCCAAAGTGATTGAGTGTAAGATTAATTTAATAACTGGGACTCAATCTGCTGGTATATCAAAATACCCCCCAGCATCGATATGTGTCAATTTTCTTAAAAAGTGCCTTAGGATGAAACCCGTTTGCCCCGATTGGCTTACTTTGAATTTGATCCCAATTTCCAGTAGCTGTGCAGCACATTCCAAGTGGGAATCATTCAATGCCAAGTATATTAGCGAGGGCGGGTCCCCATCTTGAGGTTCTTCCATCAGTGACTCCAGGATCTCGTCTTCATTCTGGTGCAGGAGGGACAAGACAGACTCTATGTTACCACCCATGGCCGCACAGTGGATCGGCATCAAGTTTTTAAAATTCCGCGCTAGGATATTACTTCCTTTGCTGACCAGAACCTAAATCAAAATTTCTACAGTTTAGGTCAACTCGAGTTAAATTGGATTAGCAATGGTACAGTTGTAAGAGTGGTGATTATGGTTTTTCAAATTTTTCTTTTTCATTTTTTTGCAGTTTTGATCTTTATATTGAAACAATCAAACCACAAAAAGTCATTTTGCACCAGTTCCAATATCAGAAGGTCTATATTTCGTCTTCAAGACAATCGGAATGCATGACTTAAAAAAAACAGCTATAAAATATGAGTCATTTAAGAAATAACTAGCGCACGATTTGTACCTACGGTGCCTCAAACAGATCGTTGAACGTAAAAACAGTTTCTTAAAACTTACACAAAAAGAGCAATTTTTAATGGAACCGTAAAATTAAACTGGGCGCATCCATCAGGGATTTCTATTTCATTAATACAAGGATTTATAAAGTCAAATTTTAAATTATTTTTTATCAATATCTCCAGAATAATCTTCAAATATGCGAATTTTTAAATTAAAAAAGGACCCTATAAAGCCGACAACATACAACTGCACTTGTCACTTTTTCAAGAAAATTGAAAAATAAGCACTTATTTCTCTGGTATAGATTATTAGATAAGTTTGGACAACCTTTATACAGACTCCGAAGTGTAACCCTGACAACATCCCACCATTGGGTTGAAAATTTCAAGTTTTCTCTAATTTTTTTGTTTTTTTAATGTTTTTTTAAACAACGCCATAACTCGGCACTAAAACAAAATCTGAGCACTAATTTTTGAAGGCCACATTTGCAATACTGAGTGCTTTCTGTCAGCAACTTAAATTTACCATTTTAAATTTACCATAGAGTTGAAAGTTTCAAGTTTATTAATTTTTTCCGCGTTTCTATTTTGAAAAAACCATAAAAAACGCCATATCTCGAAAACCAAAAAAATCATACAGCAGTCATATTGGGAGGGCAGATTAGCAACACCATATTAGACCCTTATATCACCTCACCATAGGTTTGAAATTTTAAGTTTTTTGAAATCATTTTTTTTTGAAAAAATCACAAAAAAACGCAAGTTGTCAGAAATCAAAAATATTTGAGAAGTAATGTTCAGACGCCAGATTTGCAACATCTGAGTGTACCTTGACAGTACTCACCATAAAAATGAGAAATCCACATTTAACTTGTTTTTTAATAAAAAATTTTAAAAAAAAATGAAAAACTCAATAAAAATACCACATCTAGTAAACTAAAAGAATTTGAGGATTCATATTTAAAGGCCATACTTGCAATCCCTGAGAGTACATTTACAGCTCCCCAGCATAGGGTTGAGAAATTCAAAATTAGTGAAATAAAGAAGAAAAAAATCTTGAAAACTTACGTTGCAAAAAAAAAGAAATTGCATGCAGAGTTGAAGCATTTGCGTTCCAATAGATTTCAATAAGTCGACCTGGGTAAAAATTTTAACCAATGCGAAGCATTCACTTTTCAACAAGTCAACATGTGAGTTTTTTAAATAAAATCCAATTGAAACACTATTTAAATATTTTACTGATATCGATGGGTGAATCCCATATACACACTTCACTACACTGCCCTCTTCCCCTTCCATGCTGGCATCATAGATACCGCCTTACATTTGGCCTATCATTCATTAACAAGAAAACGAAAAAGTTTCTTAAGCCTTGCAAAATACGATATAGCCTAAACGAACAGAAATAAAATTCTGTCGCTTAATATGCAAAACTTAAATTTGAAATACGTCAAATTTAATACCTCAAATACGTCAAACATTAAACGTCAAACATGAAACGTGTTTGAGGTATCAAACACGTTTAATACCTCAAAAACGTCAACATAGGGACTTTTAAGCATAAAAGATAGATAGATGTTTATTTTGTCTAACCTCTATCATTCGTTCGTTTTCGTCCTTGTTCTCGCTGCCTTCGAAGCACAACATGTGTAGTGGTGTGTTGCCTTCCGCATCCTATAAACAGCATGGATTTTGTGATGCATAAAAGTTAAAGGATACCTTATTGGATAGTCTTCTGGTAAATATTTTACTCCAACTTCAAATGAATATATCATTGTAAGAATACATAAATTGCTACTAAACTAGTTATGAATGATAGAGAGAAAAGTGGTGAAAACATAAGAGATCACACCTGAACAGCGACGTCGGCGCCTGCATCCTGTAAAATGGTCATACAGTCGGCACTCTTCACCCGGTGCAAAGGGGTGGCCCCCTTGTAGTCCCTCACATTCACATCCACCCCCTCACTCAGTAGCATCTCCACTGAGGGCTTGTGGGCAAAGTGACAGGCAGTGTGCAGCAGGGTGCTTCCTGGAAGAAGCTTTATATGAGAAGTCGCAAGGGACCACGTTAAAATCCTCCCCCTAACGCTTTTAAGGGGAGTAGGATGTTAACTTTCTTATAAGATGGAATTTACAGCCAATCCAAGTTACCGTCCCCTCCAATAGGGACCAAATTACCAACCTACCCCCTGCATCATTAGGGGAAGGGTGTTAAGGTTATTATAAATTCGAAATTTTAGCCAATCCAGGTTACAATCTTTCCCCTAATAGGGACCAAATTACTATTCTCCCGCCAACTGTCTTGAGGGAGAAGGTGTTAACTTTGTAATAATTATGAATTTTTAGCCAATCAAAACCGAGTAATTTACCAGCAGCACCAAGCAATTTCAAACCACTTAGATAGTGGGTGTAGTACCTTAACTTGGTCTATCTTGAGATTTGGGAGGGGGGGTAAGACGGTTTTGCAAATTGTGTCCCTCGTTCCCCAACCTTGTAAGTGGTTCCCTAATTTGATCTATTTATATTTCAGAGCAACGCATTGTCTTCGTATCTTTATCCGTATACCTTGAATGGCTCTGCTTCTGATGCTGGCAAAGGGCGCCACTCCCTCCACGTGGTTCTCAATCACCTTGAACAGTGTCTCAGTCTCGCCCTTGACTATCCTGGGCACGTGATCAGACAAGTATTCATACCACTCGAACAGCATGTCCTTCATGCCCTGGTTGCGCACTACATCCCACGCTGTTTTCCCAGTGTGGTCCTTGAAAGGTTCATTTCAGTTAACTTGAAACTATATTTTTGTATTATATTTTCATCATTTTTTGAAATTTTGATAAAAAATATCTAACTGAGCAGCAAGAAACGTTTTATTATCAGGTCCTGGAACTCGGAACTGTACTGTCATAGATTTTACACAACTTGATCGATTGCACATTTCACACGGACGGTTGATTTTTGCAGCGTAATTTGTGCCGCTGGTATTATAAACCTGTCGAAAAATGAAATAATGATTGAATAGTTAAAGAAAGTTAAGACGAATAATCCACGAGGAAAAAAAACACGAGTTTTTAATTTTAAAAAAATTGATTACACGTAACCCAATTAAACGCTAAATGTAATGATAGAGGGACTGTACACATTTCGATTATATTGCCTAAACAATGAATGTTGCTGCTGTATGAAATTCGCCAGAATTTGCATAAAATCGATAAAAATGCTTTTTAGAGGACCCAAAAAATGAATTAATTGGCCTACAAAATCATTTTATGCATTAAGTTGAATATGATCGAACGTAGCATTTTAGAGGACCAAAAATTAGTACATTTTTCATTAAAAAGTGTGTGTGTGGGGGGGACTATTTCACCCACCTTGTACCATGTGTCGCACCCCCATTCAATCAGCAGGTGAGCACAGTTCTTGTGTATGCTACTCATGGCATAGCTGAAGGGCGTGCACTGGGTGGCATTGACTGCATTGCACTGTGCACCGTGCTCAAGTAGGAACAGTGCCATGCTCTCGTAGCCGAATTTGCACGCCCAGTGCAGGGGAGTGTTGCCTACAAGATTGTAAACCAAGTATAATGTTTTGAAATATTAGATTGAGAAGAATATTAGTGAACGGTTAAACTCAACCCAAGTGGTTCGTTTCTGCTTTTCAAAAGTTTAATATTTTTTTTAAAATTTGTAAATGACGAACTCTTTCATTTTTATAGAATGCGTTCGTACATTTTCTGGCAATGTCACTAATTTGACAAACAAAAGACATGAATCCAAATAGTTCGGCTAAAAGTAATTAATTAAACATAATTAATTAACACCGATTGGAAAAAACTATGGTCCAGGTTTCATCAAAGAATGAGTACTTGTCAACACTATACCCCCTCCACAAATGCTAGTTATGCGACTATTCTCTCAGCCTAGCCCTAACCAGTGTTTGGGTCTCTGGAGTTGACGTAGCTGGTTGAGTTGAAGAAGACGACGAACTTGCGCACCATTTCGAACTCGCCACTCTTCACTGCCTTCTGCAACATGTTCTCATACAACCCCATGCCACCCGGGAACACCATGTAGAGGTACTCACTACCCGCACGCAACATCTTACTCAGAGAGGGAACCTGAAAAAAAACTGCTTAGGCTGACAGGGAAATCAAAATATTATAGTTATGTTAACTGTTACATTGTCGGCAATGATTTTTCGAATCTGGACGCAGGTAATTAACCAATAACTGCTCAATTTGACACATGAAACCATGTTTTCACTCATTGATTGCGCGTAGAAAACCGTGTCAAGAATCTGATTTAACTAAAAGCACTGTTTTATAGCCGAATAACTTTCCCAAGATCACCGATATTGCCAAAAAAATTGCAGCAACTATAGTTAATGTCAAGTTGCTGGCAGCATCCTTTTCATTACTTGTACTAAACCTGCTCTTTTGACACCAGAAACCAATTTCTACTCATTATAATACAAAAAAAAACAGTGTCAAAAAGTCAAATTATCCGAAAACGCCTGAATGTATGACCGATTAAGAAGCTAAATCTCATCAATTCTCCTAACAATTTGGCATTATATATAAAATTTGGCCATAAAGGTGTAAAAATTGGGAAAGTTCATACGCATCAAAAGTAAAATGCATGAATATAACAGATGATCTATTATGATGTCATCGACAACGCTTTTGCGCCATGGTCGAACTAACCATAAACAAAATATAAACATTTTGCTTTATATACCTTTTCGCTTATCTCCATCCGTTAAAAAGCTCTAATCGACACTTCAAGCACCAATAGTCCAATTAATTGTGAGCTTTAGATAAATGATGACTAAAAATGAAGCTAAACTTAAAAACCTCTTCAGTCGATAAAATATCTGGCCTGTTTATCTAATCATTTCCTAATGTAGGTCACTTTTTCAAATTAAGCCAACAAAAAAGATATGACAAACCTCGACAAAAATGTTGTATTTTGGATGTTTATCCGGATTTATTTCGACCATGATGCCCGTATTGTAGCCGAGTAGTTTCCGAATTGAGAAGTCATCTTTATTCGACCCACTAAAGTCGTCTAGAAACTCGCCTGTTTTAGTATTCCGCACTACTACCTTCTTATCAACAGCTACCATTTCTTTCCCGAACATCTGTGCGAACCCGTTGCATTTTGTGATCGACAGGTTAAGGTTGAAAGAGTTCACGACGTCGCTAACTGACATGTTTTGAGGCACGACTATGACGTCAAAGCGATCTTTCATCTTGTTGCGAATGATTTGTCTGGTCTGGTTTTGGACCTCGGTAACGTGTTTTACCCAGTTTTCACACCATGTTACATCATAAAGTTTGGCCAAACTGCCCAGTTCATCTTGGCATGATTTCAACACGTGGGTCCAGTGTGATTTTGAGTTGTCGGCACTGTTTTTGACAGGCATTCCGTATTCGTCGACTGGTGCCTTTTTCCCGAGTTCCAACTCGGCTCTTCGTATTGTCATTTTGACTTCACCGAGTCGTCTTACGACTGCCTGACATTGCTTGAATTTATACATGAGCATAAAGAACGTGCAAAGATAAGCAGCAAAGCAATGGCTGTCATAATTTGATAAGTCTTCAGCAGTGACAGGTGTTTGAAGGTGGGTCATTTTCTCGAATGTTTTCAGGGCGAGGTTGAAAGCCCACCTGTCTTGTAGCAGTATTTCATTTGAGAAAGTGTCGGGGACAAAGGTGTTAATGAGGGCACAAAATGCTTGACTGTTAGCCATGTCCCGCAGAGATTTGATGCCTAAAACAATTTAATGCTTTTAGTGAGAGCAGGATACATGCCAGTAAATTTTTCAGGGCAAAGTTTTCCTATTATGGCATCCCGGTTGTCATATCTTTATCAGCATTAGGACCTTTTGGTCCCTTTTACGTATTTTAAGTTTCGACTGCTAATTTTCGCTCCATTGCAGTGTTTCCGTTTTGATGCTGAGACCTGCAAAAAACTCTGATTAGGTCAGTGGGGTTGCAAAGTATTTCTGATATTTCTGTCAAAAGTCAACAAATTGTTAGGAAAATAGTTAATTCAATCTATAATCACCCAGTGCTTTTCCTTCCTCCGTGCAATTGAACTGACCCTGCAATATTTCCAAAATCTCTTTTTCTGGGGACGATTTCTTCTTGTGTCGTTTATGCATGGGCTTGTAATTCATGCAGATACCTTGACCCGAGTACTTTTCGAAGTCGTCGGGAATGGGTTCGTACTCTACTGAGTGTTGTGCCGCGAGAGTGTTTCCGAACCCCATCAACATTGCTTCATCCTTGTCTACTTGGGTTGTGGGGTTGGATTTAAGGGATCGAGTGGGGATCTGGTCCGGTACCCATTTGAGAGGAACTTCGCATAGCTTACTGCTGTCTTTTAGTCTGAGAAAGATAAACAGATTCGTTATAAAACATTTAGTTCTTGCTCTCAAAGTATTTGGTTTCATCCCCAAAGCCACTGGAAAAACGCAAAATTTGCGAAAATTAAGAAATTAAATTTTTCCCCAAAGAAGGCTGCTGATGACATCTTAGCTCCTGGTGGCTGCAACCTGAGGTAGTTTTAAACATATTTAGTACTCCCAGATTTGTCAAAAATTAGTCATTCAATAAACTGGGATTTGCAAATAAGATCATCAAATTATTTTCTACTAAGAAAGAAGTTGAAAAAAGCCATGGTCAGCAATGCCCCTATTGCAAATGGAAAAAAGTTGTTATTTGTTAAGTGTTCGGTATTCGTGGATGTTGAGCCATTGAATTAGTTTATTACCAGGGTGGATATTCCAATTCAATACTAGCTACCATGGGAAGCCGGGAGATTGTCCTTAAGAAATGCTAAAAACGTCAAAAAGAGGAACATAATAACCTTAGAAATTCCTGTCGCTCCCATAGAAAGTGAATATCATTCGACACTAGCAACCACATCAAATTGAAAACCTGATCCGAGCTCCTCATTGCGAACAGCCTCCCGTCAACTTCGCTCTTGCCTGGAATCACATTCATACTTTTCAGTTCCTTCACCGCCCATTCCACTCTAGTTATGACCTGGTTCTGGGTCAGGTCATCCAAGGATCCAAGACGTTTAGGCGTGTATCCGACCATGGAAGTGACCAGGAGTTTCAAGTTGGATCCCTGGAGGATATCAGTGATGATGTTGTTCAGGTTTGTTTCGTACTCTAGCAGGCGGTAATTTGCCCAGCCCGTGTAGCAGTTTAATTTTGTTTTCAAAGACATAATAACATTCAAAATGTTAGTTTTTCTTCAAACAATGGTTTAGAAAAAGGTTTTTGCTTTTGTTATTTCTTCATTAACAAAAGATTTTTTGAATTTTTTGTTTGATTCATATGGTTGCTATCATCTCTGCTGTGATGAACTAACGTAAGAAAATATGTACAACGTATTAAATTCAGCAGACCATTTTAACGCTTTGTTGTTTATCAAAAAGTGTGACGAATTGCTGCTCGATCGCTCTGGCAAAAAATGGTAACACTTGTTATGTAATATGACGTATTTTTTAGAATTTAAGAGTTGAAATCCATATTTCAGCAAGTACCCTAACTCTTTAAGAATTAATGAATGTTGCCGTCATCTCATGGACTATCTATAACTACTGAAGTAGTGGGAAAAACTTTGCTCTGCATTTGTTTTCTTTTTCAAAACAGGCATGTAACACACAGAAACATTGTACGAGGTGGTTGAGTAAAAAACCATTTTGAAACCCAATCTCTAATAATTTGAGCGGCTTTATAATAATTCGAGCGGAAGTTTTTGTTGGTCGCTCTCAGTGTCTTGACATAATGGTCTGAAAATACTTTTTTTTAAATTGTGGTTTCTGCGAAGATCAAAAACTATGCAGCTTGTCTAAGGATAGTCTGTTTCTAATTTATTTCCGCTTTTCAGACTAGGTTTTGTTCCGCGAATCAAAAGCGTTTTTTCGCCGAGAAATTTCATTTGGTGCCATTTTGCCTCCAAAATCGGTCAAGCTGTGGTAGTTCTGAAGCTAGAAGACAAGTAAGAGCTTGTCCTCACACACTATCATTACCATGGCTTGGGATCGTATTCAAGATTCGTGGATCTTTAAATGAACGCCTTACTTCTGTGAAAAAGGCTTGTACGTTTAGAATTTTGTATTGAAATAATTTTTGTTTGTTAAAACTTTTTGCAGATATGACTTCCATTTGAAATGCCTGTGCTTCGCGTGCAACGCACTCGACATTTTTGTTAGAACGGCTGATATTGAAATTCTCGTGTGAGTATTTTTAGCGCCAATATACAGATGAAAAATTATATGGCAAAAATTGTTGAAAATTTTAGCAGAATTTTAACTAGAGGCGCCCGAAAACGGGCTGCAAAGTTCCGCGGCGTTCTCGCAATGAGATTTCATTTGATTGTAAATGTAGTAAATGAATAGAATCATTTTTGCGGTTGTTCTAATAGGATCACAATAGAATCATCACATAGAATCTATTTCAGCATATTGAGTAAAAAATACACCAAAACTACCTACAAAGCCCTACAAGTTTTAAGAAAACTAATATCTCTAAATCATTGTAAAAATTATTTGAATTTTGTTTCATAGACTAAAATTGTTATTTTTACTATATAAAACACCACTTTTATTTAAAAATCATTTAAAAATTTTTTGCGCATTTTTTTAGAGATTATACTTTTTAACACTTTGTTGGGCTGCTTAGGCTACGTAAGAGGCTCAGTTTGATATAAATTTGTCAAGCATTGACTCTGTAGTTTTGGCGTAATTTTTTATCAACTACAAATGTCAAAAAAATCCTTTTTTGGTTTATTTTTTTGGGCCCCAATTTCGCGCCAAAATCTTCACCGTATTCATTTTGATAAAACTTCAAGCAAGTTTTGTCCTCATTTTTTTTCGCCTCAGCTCGACCCAATTTGTGAGGAAAACGCGTTTTCAACCAATAGTTCAATGCGTTTTTTTCCGGATAGCTTAAGTCAGCACTGTATGTATAAATTGAGAAATCATTTGTTAAAAATGAAGTTTCTCGGGAAACCTTATCAAAAAAATCTAGCGAATAATTTTCAGATGGCTTCAGAAAAAAAACGTAAAAATTTTCCACTATCAGATTTTTCTGAATCAGATTAGTTTTGAATGGAAATTTGCGACATGTTAAGTTTGACAACATGAGGAAATTCGGAAGAATCGGTCAGAAAAATTAGTCATAGAGCTGTGGGCAGACAAAACTTTCCGCCGGACTTCAACTACTATTTTGAATTTTGCTCGAATAATCATCAGTTCTTCCAGCACCATTTGAATCATTTGATACTGACTCTGTTGCTTTACCAAAAAGTCTTCATTTTCACACAAAAAAAAATGAATGTAAAATGTCTTCAACTCGTTTTCTTTTTGGTATGCTAATGATTGAAGGCTTGAATTTAAAATAAAACTAAAATATTGAAATTTTTGGAAGACAATTTGTCTTCTTCACTTAATCTAACAAAACTAACCTTTTTTAGTTGACCTTTTTTCTTTTTAGCTGAAGATTGTTATACGTAAGCAGCAAAGTGTCATCTAAACAATTTTCTGATAACTATAAAAGAACTTGATTTTATTTTCACTATATATGTGTGCTCCTTCACTTTCATCAGCTTTAGAAAGTTTTCAGCTTTTGCTTGAATCAATTGAGTCTATCAAAGGCCTGTTTTTTCATAATATTCGTTATTAGGCACAAATGACTTTTTTATCTCCAAACAATTACTGTTGGAATGAGGCTCAAATCGTAAATTTTCTTTTTCAATGTTCGTTATACTTGCAATTTTTACGCTCGCCTAACGTTACTAATTGTCTTTTTGAATTTGTTTTTTTTTTCATAATGGAAAATTAATTCCAAATTTATTCGAAGTTTTTTAGCTTTCCTCAGAAACTTCTACTGATTTTTTCAAAAAAATATATATCAAATAAAAAACCTCCTATTCCCCTGAAAGCCTGCATGCTCTTCTAGAATCTTTCTACTTGACCCCGCTGTCTACAGTCTTCGAAAAAGTCTGTGGGGGTAATTGACCCATATTTTTGTGGGGGAATATTTGACCCATATTTATGATATTTTTTTGGTTTTAATGAATAAAACAGTTTTGTAAAGCTCACTGCATACGCATATTTCTGAAAACAAAATCATGTCCCTCGGAATATTCAAGTTTTTGAGTTTTGACCGTTTTGAGAATCCTGTTTTTTCCCGAAAACAAACCTCCTAAATCTGATATTGTGGTTCATTGGCCGTTTTTTAAACTTTTTGAAAATTGTCGAAAACCTCCCTAGTCTATCTGATTTTTTTTGGTTCAATTCAAAGAACAGGCTGCGGAAAGCTCATCTTGTTATGCTACTACGACCACATTTTTCTGACATCAAAAGTTATGGCCTACGGATGTTTTGTTTTTGATCGTTTTTTTTAAAAGTTTTTGTTTTTTCTTCGAAAACTATCCTCCTAAATGTGGGTTATCGGGTTCAATCGAAATTACAAAGTTGCGTGAAATTCTGCGGCATGAGCGACTACGCCCTATTTTTTTGCTCAAAAAGCTATGATTCTCAGAAATGTCAAATTTTTGATTTGTTGATTGTTTTTTAAATTTCTCTCGTTAAATATCCTGCAAAATCTGATATAATAGTTTAAGTCAACGCATTAGGTATTTCAGGTTTAATCGTTTTTTTTTGTAAATTGCTACGCTCTCTTTCTTTTCAAAAAAAGTTTTGGCCTTCAAACAAATGAAAAATTTAAAATTTTAAAATTTTAACCGTTTTTTGTGACTTTTATTGAAAATAGTTGCGCCAAAGCTCAGGTTAAGTGTTCAACCGAGAAACCCGATTTGGGCAATTTTCTTTTCTTTGGTGGCCACGACCTGTTGTTAGCAGAAAAAAGTTACTGCATTCGGAAAGTCAAAGTTTTTGAATTTCGACCCTTTCTAAGAAATTTTTCGAAATTCCATAAAAACTTCAGTATCAAATCTGAGAAGAAATTTTTGATCGATAGAAGCGGTTGCGCGAATTTCGCCTGAATTTTGTACCGCATCAGAATAACAAAAAAAAATATCAAACACGTACATCCAGTCTTAGCTGGGCCCTAGGTGTCCTTCGTGGAATAAAACGAAAATATAGGTAAGTTACTTATTTTTGGAAAGTCATTTTGAGATCAAATTTGCTTAAAACAATTTCAAGGTTGATACACTTTAATTCAATGCAACTAAAGGTTAATTTTCAAAGTATTTATAGGTAGGTATACTGAAGGAAATGCACATGTGTTGAGGTGTTGTAAGGTACTATTTAAGATAATTTTATCGCATTTTTTCGCGTGTACAATCCCGTTCATAGTTATTTGTTAAAGTAAAAGTTATGAAAAATCCGAGCGAGAGCTTCTGTTTTTCAAGATTGACAAAAATTTTCGCAGAAAACAATTTTCAAACAGTACAAAGAAGACTAAAAACCACTTTCTCAATTTTTAATTCAAGGATATAAAAAACATTCCCCATAAATTTTTCTCTAGTTTTTTAACTACGACTTTGACTGCTTTCACCAATTGCTTGTTAACCTTTAGCACCTGTATCTCGTTTTTTTGATATTTTCTATAATCAATCGGAATAGTGTTTCTTTCTGTTACAACTTTGATCAAATCTATTGGTTTAGATTCAGCACTTCGTCTTTTCTCGTCAGCTCTTCGTCTTTTTCGTATTTAGAGATATAGGGGCACCAACATGTATTTCTCAAACCAAAACGAGTTTCAGTTGCCTCTCCAAACCTCAAAAGTTAAGCCGCATGCAGAGTCGCATCTTGAATAACTAGTAGTATATGTAGGGTAGAAATCGCTGAGGGGAGAGGGGTGCGGACCACCATGAATTAAGATGGGCTTTAGAGTATCCGGTCCGCACCCTATGAATTAACATAGGGAAAAGAATTTCTACTGTTTTACAATAGGTTATAGGTTTCAGAGTTTCAGATGGTAAAATGGTAAGTTTCGAGGAAAATTTTTGTTTTCAAAAAATTTTTGGCGCCCGATTTACCGATACAGCAATGTTTCAGATTCTAAACGTATTCTTAATCATAAAAACAATATAATGTTAACACAAACGTAGCGTTTCAAGAGAATTTTTTTTTAAAAAGATTAATTACAGAGAAACTGGTCACTTGCTGGTAAGGATACATTAATCTAAATCTTCTTCTGCCAAAGACAAATAAAGGGAGTATGTATCCATTTCGAGTTCTTCAAATTTGTTGACGTCGCAAAATTTATCAAAAAATGGGTAATACAACTCCAACATTCTCAACTTGGCATATCGTAGTTTAAAGAATCCTACTATAATTGGTTCACGATGCTCTATAGTAGATTTAACAAGTTCCACTTCATACAAATTTTTAGCTACGATATTGAGTCTCTTGAAGAACTGGTTATTGATAGCTTTATGGGTTTTTTCGTCTCCAAGATATTTTGTCG